GCTGGGCGCGGCGCGGCGGGCTCCGCACCCGCCCGGGGCTCCCCCTCCCCTGCGCGCACGCCCCGCACCACCCAGGTGGCAGCCGGGCAAGGGCGCTGCGGGACCTGGGGTGTCGGTGGCTGATCTCAGCCGCGGGAAGGCAGCCGCCAGCACAGGCGCTGGCTGTCCTTTTAAAGGCAGGGTCCGTCCAGGTGCGCTTGCACCCCGCTCGGATTCCTGCTCCAGCCTAAGTTTAAAGCCTAAGCCGTGGCAACAGCACTTCTAGCCAGGCAGCCGGGAGGGAGTCAGTCAAGTGCCTTGGTGGCTCATGAGAAGTCTCTGGCTTCCTGCTAAACTCTTCATGCCACAGGTGTTAAGGACCCGCTTTCCTTTCAAATGGTCTGCCTCGGCCCGCTACTCCACTTCACCTTCCTCTGCCCACTGTTCCCTGCTCCTTCATCTCGCAGTGGTAACTCTTGCTCCGCGGTTCCCAAACTCTGACAGGTTGTGCACCACCCATTTAAAACGCTGCAACCTTCAGCACCGCCAGCAACTTTTGCAATTCAACCTTAAGTACCATCCGCAATTTTTTGTCTTAACAGATTGATTACAATTACTTTATAATGGGGTGATATGAGCCCGGCACCCGTTCCTGCCCAGGGCAGGGGGTTGGACCTGATGATCTGTTTAGGTCCCTTCCAACACTATGGTACTATGATTTATAACGCATACCGCTGGTGGTACCTGTACCAGATTGGGAACCGCTGCTCTAGCTAAAAAAGATTAACTCTGGTGCAGAAGTGTTACCTCAGGTGAGCATTAGCTCAGGTGCGGAAATTGATTTCAAGGAAGTGGCACTGTCCGGATGCTCAGGGAGGCTTGGTTTTGTTTCATGAATCTGAAAAACAGACATGCATGTAACTATGATGACTTCAGGACAAATGAAACTACATCATTGGATTATTTTTGCCTACGGTGTTGTGGTTTTATATATAACATATGATAGGATATCGAAATTCCACATTTTTTGTTTTGCTCCAATCTTAAATGGAATAATACAGCTCTAGGCCCATACATATTAGTAAAGCTTCTAGTTTCTTTTTAACTTCAGCAGTATTGCCAACTTCCATGACTTTTGGTGTTATTCTTAAAGCCTATGTTTCAGGAATGTGAAAAACTTAGCTTGCTCTTTTATACATTTATATATAACTATAACTGTATATAAAAGAAAAAGCCAAGCTGTTCACATTCCTAAGGCATAGACTTTAAAAACAACTCTAAAAATCATGAAACTTGGCAACACTGATTCAGAAAAATGCATGTTGTCTGGTATGTGATAGACCACACCAGCTGCACCCCCACTTTTCAAAATCCTAGATCTGCCCATGGGCAGGGGTAATAACCTGACTGTGATTAAACCAGCTGTTTTCCCAGAAGGCTAACCTGTGATCCTGTGTCCCTCTGGCCACCTGGGGAAGAAAGGCCCTATTCATCCCACTTGCCCAGCTGACAGCTTGCAACTACTTGAAGGGTGGTTACAAAGAAGATGAAGCTAAACTGTTCTCAGTGGTGGCAGATGACAGATCAAGGAGCAATGGTCTCAAGTTTCAGCAAGGAAAGTTTCTATTACAGATTAGCGAAAACTTTGTCACTAAGGAGGGTAGTTAACCACTGGAACAAGTACCCAGATAGGTGGTGGAATCTCTGTCCCTGGAGGTTTTTAAGACCGGACTAGACAAAGCTTTGGCTGGGATGATCTAGTTGGGGCTGGTCCTGCTTTGAGCAGGGGGTTGGAGTAGGTGATCTCCTGAGGTCCTTTCCAACCCTAATTTTCTATGTTTCTATGACTGCAACCTATGTGGATATTGGCTTCAGGGGTACAGTTAAGGCTCCAGGGAGAGACAGCAGAGCTCTTCTCTGCACGGGGAGGGGGTGTGTGTGGGGTGGGGGGGAGTTAAACAGTAGCATCTTTAAGACTTTATTGATTTACTTTTACTCTGGACAAACGGACAAAGGAGAAGAAGAATTTTACCTTAGAAGACTGTCTTAGGGAAGTGCCTTTCCAAGCTACACTTCTTGTACAAGACTGTTTCTATAGCACAAGGTGGCATACTTGACATTGAGATGAAACTAATAAGTTACTTCTCAGACACGTACATTTTTCTTAGTGTTATCTCAGCCACCACAGTGTCTCATCCCTCTCTCAGAGCCTCTCTGACACAGAAAGGCCTCTGTGACTTGACCAAGTTAGAAATGCCCTGGTTTTTTCCACCAGAGAATGCTGAGGGAAGTCAAAATGTCCCAGAAAGGACGATGCAATCATAACAGAAAGCCAGCTGGGTTCTGATAGAAACCTGCCTAAACATCTCCTAGCTTGCCTGACCAGCTGTGGAGGAGACCATGGTTCCATGTGGTTTGGTCTTAACAGGCTGATGGAGATCCCTGGGAGCACTAGCACTTACATGCCTGTAATGCCAGCACCACAACCTACTAATGTGTCAGGCTCAAGGCACATTAGTTAGCCTGGGTTCCCAGGGTTTATCATTTTAGACAGGACACCAATATGCGCCCGAGCCTTGCATCTGTTGCTTCATCCCTCCGACGGCTTCAGAACCTGGAGTGCTGAAATCCTCCACAAAATGGAAAATGCCTTTCTCAACAGAGCTGTAATTGTGAGGTCACTAAGTCATGTTTGCATTTTAACTTGTGTGTAACCATAGCCATCACAACAGGACAAACAAGAATCAGAGCCAATGCTTGGTGCTATTGTATTCCAAATAAAATTAACAAAACATGGAAGAAGAACTAGAGTGTAATAAACGTTGCCCCTCAAACTGAAGACCATAATTGGCTGTTCCATCACCACCTTTAAAAAAATTAAGGGACTCCTGCTTTGTGTGTTTGGGCTTTTTTACTGACACGTTATATGAGGGCTTGGCATAGCTTTTCCATCTACTGTTTTAAGCAATGACTGACTTCAGTGTGACAAATTGTTTTATACCATGGTTACAGGAACCTATGCTGCAACAATTAGTTTACAATTTCTATTCCTAGAGCTAAAGCTCAGGTTTCTCTTTGATATGAAACGCTTTTTTTACTTTAAGCCAAGGCTAGAACAGAACTAGTTAACAAGCAGAGCTATGCTGACTGAGTTCAGGGGCAATACTGGCAAAACCAAATGCTAAAGCGAGATAAGGTGTTATATCAAGTTAAACAAAAAACAGCCTTGCTAATTTTATTTCCATTCAAACCTGCAGCTGAAGTAAAACCAGCATGACTATTGTCTTCCCTGGAATGCCAATTAACACCTGTTGGGTATTTGTACTATTGTTTTAAAGCTGAGGAAAGCAAACTGTTGATAAAGAGGAAAATACGCAAAGATTGTTTTATAAGCAAGCAATTAAAGCTGAATCTATTTTAAAATCGCTGGCAGCATTTTTTTTCCGTGAGAACACAAGACATAAGACACCTTAACAAAACAACGTGTCAGAAGAAAGGATGTCTTCCTTGTGTCTAATTGACATAGAACTCAGCACAGACCCATGGTAGGCATTGTGTGGTCAGATAACCTGTCAGAAACTTGTTGTGAGAAGCATCCACATGCAACTGTTCATCACGCCACCCTTACTGTACACATCGGAGTCCCCTGCCTGCTAATACATGGGACCATAGGAACATGGACCCACCTTTGTGGAATTGTGGACTTGAGGCCACGAAAAGAAAACAAACTCTTGTGCCCCCTCAAATGCTTTAGCAAAAAGTCATTTGATTTTTGGATGAAGGTCTAAGCAAGATGTACTTAAGGATGCAGAAAGGGAAGCTATGGACTTTTATAAATATATTCCTCCTCTCTGGCCTTCTGGCTTCTATTGTCAGGGATTTTCAACACCTATTACCATGTGGAAGGCAGCCACAAAAACCACCTGGATAAGTCTTTGGTTAGACAATAAGTCTCTTACAAGGAACTGGATGCACAGTTACTCACAAGAGCAGTGCTCAAAACATAGCCAGCTCCTTTGTAATAGGATAATTTAAGATGAGTTATAAAAAAAAGAAATTCAAATTCTGGTACTGCGCTCTGGGGCCCACTGACTGAAGCAAACATAGTACAGTTCTTAAAACTTTGGCTAGAAAAGGCCCAACCAGTTTTTGTAGCAGTGTTACTAAATGCTGGAAAGCTTGACCTACTTATTAAGACTGAAAGGTCATCTCTCAAATGAAATGTCAAAACTAATGAGTAATTAGCACCTAGAATCCAGGCAAATAATTAAATTAATTATTATGAAGAGGAGGTCTGCTATTTAATATACAATATGCAAAACTGTCTTCTGGAAGCAGTGTAAGACCTTATTAAGACAGGCATTTAGCAAGCAAGACTAAGTAGGGATATGGTATAGGGCAGGGGTTCCCAGACTGTGGTACGTGTACTCTTGCAGGTATGCAAGACATCTTTGGCAGGTACTCAGGAGAAATTGTGTAGTGGTGGATCTAAATATCATTATAATAATAATTGGCATTTAAGAGGTTAAAATATAAAACATATGCTGGTAGAGCTGGTAAATCTGGAAGGGGGTATGCAATAGGAAAAAGTTTGGT